ACCTATTTAGAAAGCTATAGACTCTTGACTGTGTCAGAGAAACAGAATAGAAACTACAATGCTCTGAGAACAAGAGGAGCAGGAGCTTGTCAATGTGGGTTTACAGTTGGCATCCCTCACTTGGAGTCAGAGCAGAGTAGAAAAGCATCTGTCATCAAATGTGACAAAGGCCACTGCCCTAGTTAAACTGTTGTGAACTGGGGCACTTGAGTCTGAGTAATTCAGGACTTTTATTTTCAGCCCATGTCCCCAATCATTCCTGTTGAAATGAAGGCCATCTCTTGCCACTAAATGTGCCTTTTGCCCTTAGTAATAATCTGCAACTTTCATCCAAACAGTAAAGACAGAAAAATGGAAAATGTTACATTCTCAGATAAAGGAAAAAAAGATATATTTCTCATTGTGCACTCCAAATGTGTTTTCTTTCACTTTCTCATTTGTTCTGTAACAGATTTTACTGACTGCAGATACATTTCACAAAGCATATAATAAATTTAAAAGGAAAATATCTTCATTCCACACAAATCCATACAATGTATACACCTCTTGGAATTGGGGGAGAGAATATTGTGTGAAATTTTTTACACAAATGCTAACTAGACCTAAATGTGCATCATTCATTTCAATTACAGTTCAGAAATGAACCCAGGAGTCATACAGGTACCACTACAATCCACTTAGACATTCTGGATTCTTGTATTTTTTTACAGTATTTTTTTTGTCTAGGTAAAGCCCATTGGCCCTGTCTAGTATTGGCCAAGATGAAAAAGAAAAGATAAGCCCTAGTAGAATGAACAGTAGACATGTTGCTGCTTAGTTACAGACAGTGTTATGTAGTGATTATGGGCTCTGGAATCAAGCTTCCTTTATTCAAATCCTAGTCGTTGGCTGTGTAACCTTTGCCAAGTGATTTAGCCTTTCTGTAACTCAGTAGCCTCACTTATTAAATGGAGGTGATGATAAGTGCACTTTATAAAATTACGGTGAGGATTAAACATGAGCTAATAAATATAAAGCATCCAGGCCAGCCCACGGTAAATCCTCAGTAAATATCAAAATTGTGAAAACTTACCGTGTGTATTTTCTCCGTCATGATTCTTCCAAAACATTTGTTAGTTACCAAGCATTCAATTACAGAGATGAACAATAATCTACTTAACAATTGTCATAAAGTTTTAGAATTTTTTTCCAATTTTTCACAGTTATATATTTACCTAATTTTTCAGATTAACCTTAGAATCAATTTGTCAACTTTCTAAAAAAATGCCTCTTGGATTTTAACTGAGATTATATTAAACATACACATTTATTTGGGGGAGATTCGCTTATGAAGTCCAATCTTCTCATCCAGGGATATAGTTTATCTTTCTGTAAATTTAAGTCTGCTTAAAATAAACCTCTAATGTTTTGTAATTATTTTTATATAAATCATCTGTATTTCTTTGTACATTAATTCTTTGGTGTTTTACAACTCTGTCATTAGGAACTATTAAATATAATTTACTCTTATTTCTTGCTGTTATGGAATATTTAGTAGTTTCTTTATGTCACTTTTAAATATAGAGGTTATAATTTTTCACAGTAAAAAATATCAAACCTTTACTGTGTATAACTGTTTTTATACACAGGAAAACATCAACTTACATGCTGAATTTAGAGCAATTTTTAGTTTTATCTTTTTAAAAGTAAAAGCACTTTCCAAAGAGGAAAAAAAATTAGGTGGCTCATGCCTGTAAGCCCAGCACTTTAGGAGGCCGAGGTGGGTGGATCACGAGGTCAGGAGATCGAGACCATCCTGGCTAATATGGTGAAACCCTGTCTCTACTAAAAATACAAAAAAATCAGCCGGGTGTGGTGGTGGGTGCCTGTAGTCCCAGCTACTTGGGAGGCTAAGGCAGGAGAATGGTGTGAACCAGGGAGGCGGAGCTTGCAGTGAGCCGAGATCACACCACTGCACTCCAGCCTGGGTGACAGAGTGAGACTCTGTCTCAAAAAAAAAAAAAAAAAAAAAATTAGGTACATAATATAAGTATACTTCTAAGCAAAGGGGTGATTTTACAGAGAAATCATTACGATAAATGGTATTCTTGCTTCACCATGAAGGATCGCAGCCCGAATAGAAAGATCAAGAACTTAAGAAAATTCTGTGCTAATTAATATGTCTATTAATGGGTTATTAGACCATAACAGTCTAACATTTACTACAATCCTGCCTTCTTTTCCACATACTCCTACCTTGGAATTCTTCTCATACTTCTTTAATTATTTCATATTAATTGATTGCTTATTGTTTATTTTTGTCCACTGCCAATGTATTTCCATTAGGGCTACAACCTTCAGCTGTCTTGTTCACCACAGTGACCAATGTCCAATCACAGTCTCATTCGTTTATGTATTCATTAATTGAAGAAACAAATATTAGTCTCCTATTCCTTATCAGGAACTGTTGCATATAGACAAGGTCTTTGACCTCAGAGTGTTTATTTTCTGTGGAGCTGGGGGAGGATAGAAAGCAAATAACCAAATAAATAACATAATTTCAAGTAATTATAACAGCTACTGCATAGGGTGGACTGAGCAAATCTGGGTGGATGTACTGTTGGAAAAAAAAGAAAAGCCACTGAAGGCCTCTCTGAGTCGGTAACATATGAACGGAGAAGTGTAACATGAAAGATCTGAGGGGAAAACGTTGCAAGAAGACTGAATTTCTATAAAGATCCTGAGGTGGATAAACTTGGTGGTTTGAGAAGCAGCAATAAAACCAGTGACCAAGAGAGAGGATGGAAGGAGATGATGTCACAAAGTCAAGACACAGTGAGATTGTGCAGGCAAGGCCTTCTTGTGTCACACTTTTCAAACTTAGTTGTGCATGTAAATCATCTGGAATCTGGTTAAAATGCACACTGATTCAGGAAGTCTGGGCCAGGGCCTGAGATTCTGAATTCCTAATAAGCTTCCAAGGGATGCTAATGCTGTTGTTCTGGGGACCACTCTGAAAAGGAATCTTCTGAGTTATAAAAAGGAGGTTGAGTTTTATTGTAAATATGAATAAAAGCCATGAAAGGGCCTTGGGATGACATAATTGCTTTTCATTTTCAAAGGATCGCACTAGTGTGTAGAAAAGCCTGTGGAAGTGAAAGCGTGGAAGCAGAAAGCCAGTTAGGAAACTGCTTCCGTGAGGCAACAGAGGAGGGTGGTTTGGAGTAGTCTGAGCAATGAAGGAGCCCAGGACACATGGTGATGTTTGGGACATGTTTTGATTACATAGTAAAAATAATTGATAGACTATATGTCGGATGTGAAAGTCAGAGTAATCAAGACTGTCTAGTATTAAATGGACCAGTGAGTGATTTGTGGTTCTTGTTATAAAGATGAGAAAATATGGAAGAGGGCCAGGTAGGACAGGATAGAAGTCAAGAGTTTGGTTTCAGATATGCTATTATCGAGAATATCGTATTAATGATCAAATAGAAATATTAAGTATAAGTTGTGTACATATGTTAAGAGCTTAGGGAAGAGTATTGAATGTAGATGGAAATTTAGGGGTCATTCGATTTTGAAGTTATCCAATAAAATGAGCTCATCTAGCAAGGGAGAATTAGAGAAGATATTTAAGTCTGAGAAGAAGAGGAAAGGTCAGCCAAGGAGACTGAAAAGAAGCTACTTGTGAGGTAGGAAAATAATTCAAGAACATGTGACACTCTAGAATTTAAGTGAAGAAGTGCTTCAGCATAGTGGCTAATGGAGATTGGGTAATCAAATAAGTACCTGTCAGGGTTCAGATGAAATGAAACTGAGAATTGACCACTGAATGTTGCAAGAGGTGGGCATTGTTGCTAACTTGACAAAGGTGGTCTTGGTAAATAGGGTGATAAATTGTTGCCTAGAATGTAGGAAAGCAAGAATGGGAAATGATAAAGTAGAAGCAGAGACAATAGAAAACTCCTTCAAGAATTTTTGCAATAAAAAAAGAGAATGGGCCATAACTGGAGAAAGATGTTAAATCAAAGGAGTTTTATTTTAAGATAAGAGTTATTGAAACATGTTCATGTGCTGACATAAATGATAGGTGATGAGAAAATATGGATTATGCAGGTGGAGGGGCTGGCTGTGGAGAGAAGAGAGAGATGACAAGAAAATAAGAGTATATATGGGTAAAGGTACATGTAAGTTGAGAGAGAAGAAAGTGGGAAGATAAGCACTTTTCTTCTAGATGATTCTGTTTTGCAATAAAATAAGAATAAACAAACAGTAGAACATGAGAAAGGAGTGTTGGGGATTTGAGCGGTGAAAAATTTGTGTGATATATTCATCTCAGATAGCATGGAGGCAAATTTAAGAGAATGTAGTGGGATTCAAGGGTAGTACTGAGGGACCATTTAAGGCATGGTAATACAATAAATATGAAGCGGGATTTCTTCTAGTAACATTCACCTACTTAGGGAGAAAATGGCAAGGTTGCTGAGGATACATGCAAGAAAGAAATTATAGTAATGAGCCATGGCATCTAAACCAAGTAAGAAGGAAGTGAGGGCTTGAAAAAGCGGTGAGTCAATGCATTATTTAAATGAGACTGAAGAATAGTTATTAAAGGAAGTGAATTGAGAGGCAAGAGGTTCTTTGATTCTTTAGGTAAGTAAAACCCTGTATAACATACCCCTGAACTCTCCAAAGGTGTAGAACAGTGGAACTTTAGCCACAGGCACACAGCTTGAGCTGTCATGAAAGTTTCTGAAAAGGCTTACTAGAGATTTCCTTTTAGTACACATATGATTTTATTTACTTATGTTTCTCAGAAATACATCTATTGAGAAAGGCAGGGTTGATCAGTACAGCAACTGTATCCCTTTTTATTTTAAGTATTTTGAAATGTTTTAATGCACCAAACTCAAAAGCAAAACATCATTCAAATCAATGGGCTATTAGAGCACCACCCTTAAGTGCTGCTTTGTCTCTCTGCTTATTACTCTTTCAAAAGCAATAAAACAAAAATCATATCATCAAATTTGAATGTTAATTTATTTCCAAAATAATCTGGACAGCAAGCAAATAGAGTCTTGAAATGCTGTCTCAAACATTCTTTAGAAAATTGTTAGGAGGGCAAAAAGTCCATAAAGTAAAGCACAAGGGTAGGCAACAAGAAGCTGCTGTCCTTCCATGTGCAAGGCTGCAATGAAGATCTTGGAAGCTGAGAGACTACACCAGCCAATGATGACCAGGGATGATACGGTTCCAAAGGTGCCCCTGCAGCAAAGACAAAGAGATGATTGCCTGTGCCAGTAGAAAAGAGACCATTGAGTTAAAGCTGCCTCTGAAATATCCTTGGTACAATATTTATAACTACTTTTTCCAGTGGTAAAATGACAATCATGAAATATATGAACAAAAGCCCTTGGCCAGTTAGGCATTTTTTAGTCAAATTCGTTACAGAGGCTAAATATTTTATATTTCTGTTAAACCTGAATTAGAAAAAACAGTAGAAGTCACCTGCAGTCACTCTCCTCTCATCTGTCAATATTCAAATCCTAACTCCTAAAATTCTCTTAAATACAGCATTGAGAGCCTTCACATCCTTATAGCTATAGACTTCCTTTCCCCTACTTGTCTCAAAAATTGGCCAATGGTATGGGAGAAGGATAGACAGAGTTACATTCCAGTGAGGTGCCTAATTCCCGCTACTTTCAGATCTACTTCTCAGGTTTTTGTCGGACATCACAAAAAGCCTGACACAGCTCAAGTAAGGAGCACGTGGGACAGGAAAGCACGTATGTGTGTGGCTTCCCACTTAATCCTTGAAGTTCCATTTTGTATATTTTTAGAATGTTGAAATAGATTTGTTCAACTGGTATCTTCAAAAAGTAACTGTGGAGGCAAGTGAGCAAATAAGATAGTCAAGTCTGGTCACTTGGAGTATAATAAGGCAGGAAAGGTGGTCAAGAGTGAATTTCCTTTCTTATGTGCTAAACAGAATGCATTATTTAGAAAAATAAGACGAGAGCTGGGAGAAATCTCAGGAGATGTCTACTGTCCAGTTTTAAAGCAATAAAGTGATGACAAAAATTGCATGGTGAAGTGGACAATAGGTCAAGATCTCTCCTATCATAGTACTCTTTCCACCACCAAACTAAACTGCCTTACTTGATCTTGGTTTGACCCTGAAGTTGGGAATTGTGTTTATTATTTGTGAAAATGACAGAAATATCTACTTCTAATAATTGAACAAAAGCAAAACAAGTGAAAACTCTATAGTATAGCTTCTAATGCCTCAGACTATTAATAAACCAAACATATTTTTAAAACACCAAATAAGTACTACATTTATTGATTTAAGTAATACCTATTAGAGATAATTTCTAGAGTTGTTTAATGTACTGTATTCTTAGTAACGGTCTTGAGTTGCACATACTAATTGCCTAAATTAAGGAAGAAAAAAAAATATTGACTGAGCATGTATGTTATAAAATTCTCCAACATTAATATCCTCATCAGGGTTCCTGGGAATTCTACCCGGCAAGGAGCCCAGCTGAGAAAGAATAGTTGTTTTCAGCCCAGAAGGCAGAGTGCCTGAAAGCTGAAGCAATTTATCAGTGTTCACCAGGCACTTACTCTTCCAAAATCAAACAAGTGAATTTCCTGTAGTTGTTATTTTACACATGACGATAGTTCACACTGAAAAATGTGACAACTTAAAAAGTGCCAGGTGTTTTTTTTTTTTTTTTCCTTTTCTTTTATTTATTTATTTTTTTTAGATAGAGTTTTGCTCTTGTTGCCCAGGCTGGAGTGCAATGGGATGATCTTGGCTCACTGCAACCTCCGCCTCTGGGTTCAAGTGATTCTCCTGCCTCAGCCTCCCAAGTAGATGGGATTACAGGCCTGCGCCACCATGCCTGGCTAATTTTGTATTTTTAGTAGAGACAGGGTTTCTCCATGTTGGTTAGGCTGGTCTCGAACTCCCATCCTCAGATGATTCACCCACCTCGGCCTCCCAAAGTGCTGGGATTACAGGCACAAGCCACCGTGCCCAGCCAAAAAGTGCCAGTTTTAAAGATAACTTGGATTAATTTATTTTTTAAGTAACTGAATGAAGTAAGAACAGCACCTGGGCCAAAACTGACCTACTTTTCTGAATCTATGTGTAGCTTTTAATAGCCATGCTTTTCCCAGTTCCACTACCAAAACAATCAGAAAGGGCTTAACTTTTGCATGACTGTGGCAAACCTTGGCTATGATTGTGCGTGTGAGGTCAATGAGAGCACACCGACACTTACTGCAATGAAAAGAACGTGGCGCAGCCAGACAGGATGACCATGGGGAGCAGGCAGTAACCCAGCACGCTGGCCACACAGCCGTATGACACCCCTGAAGAGCTCATCAGATTCAGTAAGGCATGAATCACAAGGCAGCCAATGGCACTCATGCCATACACATAACCAAACTGAACTTTTCCTGCCTGAAACGACGTGGGAAAAAAAAAACCAAAAAAAAAAAAACAGTTTGAACACACAATGGACACCAAGAGGAAATCTGAATATCACGAAGCAGAGAGCATGTTAGAGTCAGTTCAGTGCTGTTCCCTGTCTTTGTAGGACTGTCATCAGGAGACTGGCAGTTCTGGGAAAAACATGGCCAATGGTTTGAATTCAGATTCTGAAAACAAACACTTCTGACTAGAGTTAGGACGGAATAAGCATGCTACAAAGAAGATAGAATATTTCTAGACTTATTTTTTATTATAAATTGTCTATTAAGAGTACAAGGCGTAAGTAAGACTATACTTTGTCCACATATTTATTAAATAATTACATGATTGAATAGAGGAATAAAAAACCCAATTTTAGTCTTGTGGATTTATAAGGCATATTAGTAAAATTAGCAAACAGATACAGGATTTACCATGTTGGAACCCATTCTAAGTGTGCCACATATATTTATTTAATCCACATAACCACCTTATGAAATAAGTATCATAATTACACCAACTTAAACATGAGGTGCAGAGAGGATAAGTAACTTGCCCAAGGTAATATAACGCTAAGCAATGGAGGTTGGCTTTGAACCTAGGTATTTCAGCTCTAAAATGTAGGTCCTGAACATCAACGGGAGCTCTTACAAGTCCTAAATAAGTCCCAAAATAATGGCACATATTTAACCCTATTTAATTTAGCACTTAGTTGAACACAGAATCCTTTTATGTTTCATGATACCTATTGCCAGGTTGATTAACCACGCCTTATGAAAAGGTGATTTATATAAACTAACTGGTAATGAATCATAAAAGGTGTACTGTCAAAGGAAGTTAGTAGTGTTCAGAGTACACCACCAATCTTCTGAGGAAAACTCATAAAAACAGCCATTGCTCACAGAGCTAGTATTTTGTGAGTACAAGCCACAGTAAATGCACTCAGAGAAAATCACAGCATACTATTACTTCAAAAGAGGATATTTTAATGTTTGCTTTCTGAGAATACCAAAGCTACAGTTAAAAATTCATTAATTTTTTATATTTACATTATGCTGATCATAACTTCTAGATAAAAGTTGAATAGGCTGTCTCCGGTTTTCATGGGAATTAGACAAAAACAGTGAAGGATCTGATAAATTGATTCAGGAGAGAAAGAGCTTTTTAGCTGCCACTTTTCCTTCTCCATGCTATTATCTATGAAGTCTTTTAGAGATATTTATTTTACAATTAATCAGGGTAATGGAGAAAGTCATAGCTATTTTAATGTTCAAAATTGTTCACCTATTCTGAATTCTTCTTCTTCTGCAGTTGGAGCGTTGATCACTACGAAGTCCTTTCGTAAATATTCCTGACTTTTGCTGGCAGAATTGTCTCCAGCATTAGCCACTGATAAATTCTTACGATATCTTCTGTATTCTTGTGGCCATTTAATGAAATAATGCTAATGATGGACATGCTAGCAGAAACACATCAGCTATCCACTGCTTTATTGGGTGAGTTTGCTCCACTTGCAAAATAAAGACAATTTCACATCATTGTCATGCATTAGAGAAACCATCTACTTAATATTTACTTGGATGGGATAAATATGAGCTAGGGCTAGTCCTAATGGTATAGGACAACTCTCTTGCACCCAAAGGACACCTTACTGCACCTTCCTGTCCTGAAAAGGCAGTTCTACAAATGGAGTGGGGCAAATAGGGAGTAGATGAAGCTAATTTGGTAGTAAAGTTGTGTGTTTTCATGTCAGTTATGAACTTCTCTCATCATGTCTGTCTTTGGTAGTTTGTCCAATTTAAGTTGTAATTCCATTTAGCCTAAATCACTGCCATTTTAAAGAATTGTTTCAAATTCTAACAAGGGCTTATAATCGAAATAGAAAATAAATGTTCTATTTTTTTAACCTCAAAATTTTTAAGGATCCTCCCTATACCATCCTCATTACCACATCGTGATTTAAAATACTTAGTGTTCTTCTGATTGCACTTTTAAATTGGCCATGCATGTTGCTTTTTCAGACCACACTCTTGGCCCTATCAGAAAAGTTAAATGGAGCAAAAGCTTTAAACCATTTGTCTTCTTGGTGTTGGAAATGAAAATAATTTGGGGGAAAAGAATAAGTAAAACTAAATTTGTGCTCAGTGCTTGAAGCTTTCTTTGGTTTATCTCCTTTTGCCTGAAGAAAATCCACTGAAAGAATGGTGTCTTATGTCAGCATGAATCTCAACGAAGGAGGCATATGTGACTATGACTCTTATGACTCCAGAGATGATAAACAGATTTGGATATTGATTCTGAATTTAGTTTGCTTTCTCTAGTAAAATTCCTGTATCAGCCAGTAAAATCACTCTTACATTTTAATTCTACATATCCAGGAAAGAAATAACCTATAATCAAATGAATTCTGAGTTAAATCATACTTCAATTAATATTCACTTGGAGTTTTGGGGGAGTCCTTTTTGCTCTATATCAGAATCAATTTGAAAGTTATCATATCTAATGGTAAAATTTCAAGTGATAAGGTTTGCATAAAGACATTCAGAAAACACATATTTTCACATATTCTACACAATTTTAGAACTAAATAGAACCTGAAGAGCTACTTAAATAAACTCCTTTTGCCTTGAAGAAAATGAAATGAAAGCCTAGAAATATGAAGCCGAAGGTTAAAGATTACAGCAAGTGGCAAAGCTAGGGTAGATCCAATTTTCTCACTTCCAGTTAAGAATTTTTGCCTCTATTGCTTTGTATTTAAAATATAAGAAGGGATATGTAAATAACTCTAACTAACATTATGCATCCAAGAGAGATCATAATGGAATTGATGCTGTTCTTTAAGGGATGGTAACAGTGATGTTCTGCTACAGAACAAACAGCTGTTTTATTACAAATGACTTGAAAAAGAAAGATGAGTTAATATATTAAATTGATTGTTTCTGACTATTTGATTAATTGACATGGCCTTACTTAGCAGTTAATCTAAGATTATCAAATTACTGTGACAAAGACAGAAGAAGGGAGGTTAGAGACTAAATTAAAACTCTAGTTGATATAGTGTTTGATTTACAGAGTATTTGCACTTGCTGTAGTACAAAGAAATAAGATGTTATCACTAAATACTATTGTATTGGATTAACATGATGTTATTATTGGCCAAATTACCTGCAGAAACTAGATTGCTATCAGTATTTTGATTGATTATATATAATAATTGAAAAGCACAATTTTATTTAGTTGCAAATGCATTTTACAACTACTCTTGAAAATTGTATATCCATTGGAAGAAATTATTATTATGGAACATGAAGAGCAGGAAAATGGGGAAAAGGGTGAAATAGTTATTGTGAGAGCTTTTCCTATAATGTTTAATTTCTCATATTATTTCTTCTGCCTAGTTTATCTCTTTGTGTCTTAATGAAACAAAATTTTTCAGACTGTCTTGACCATCTTTATCATTCTCTGTTTTTATTGTATTGCCATCTTCTCATGGTATAAAGTCAGAGACATTTTCTTATTTTTTTCTTATTCCTTTTTTTTTTTAATGAAACATTTTCCTAAACTATGAGCTAGAATGTCTTTTAAACTTTACTTAGGTCACGTTTTTAGTGACCCTTAATACCATTACTTCCAGATATAAAGAATGAAAGCATACATAAGACATATGGTGAAGTCGGGGAACAAATGTCTTCATAAAATGTGGAAAACTAACATTTTAGAGGAAATATGTAGGCTGAGTAAACAAATCACAGGTTGTCATTGCAAATTAACTTTCTCTAAGTAGCCTAACCCAAAACAAGGAGATCAGTCTCGTACTTCGTAAGATGTTAGAAATAGTCTGGAGATTTATCACAGCAAAGAAAATGGTGACCAAAGAGAAGTGACTTGTTCAGTGTCACAACAGAACTCTCACAAAAAACAAAAAATAAAATGTAGGCCTTATATCTCCCAAATCTGTTTTCCTCCCATTATTCCAGATTTACAGTTTTTTCTTAATAACAAAAAAGACATAAGTGATCTCCTACTTTGATCTCCTTCTTGATTTTTGAAATTCTATTTAAATTTATACTTTTTAGCTGTTGCAATGCATAATAGTAGCATATTTTTGTCACTATTGGTTAAATTATTTTCTCTCACTTAACAAAATTCACTATGTAATGTGACACAGTTTCTCTTATATTTATACATATTGCTTCAAAACCAGCACTGGCAAGGACAAGCATTAAAATCTGGTGCTTACTGTGACACATTACCAGAAGCAAGGTGGCTCCCAGGGCTATGCAAAAAAGAATGGGTCCAGTGAGGTCCGTTTCATTCATAATACTGCCATCTGCTGGCTTCATTGGGTTTAACACTGTCCAAGTTTTTTGCCATATGTGATCAAAATGGATTCCAAGTTCTGTAAAAAGGAAAAAAAGATAGATAATATGATAATATAAATATAGAAAAACAAAAATAAGTTACACTCTTTAAAGGTTAACATATCTGATTAACTTACTTAGCATTTTAATCTGATTGTTTTATCATACCTTCTAAAGTTCTATGTTCTGTATTACACAGAAACTCAAGTTCTATGTAACATACAAATCTTTAAAAAAAAAAACTAAAAAGTAATTTGGTTTCCAAAGAATGACTTAAAAGAAATGTGTTAGAGAAATATTTCCATCGGGGAAAACATTCCCTGATTTACGCAGCAAATACAAGCTTTAAATCTAATTAAAAATTGGGAAATTGGCAATATACAGTAAAAAATAAAATTGTAGCTAGCAGATCAAAAATTTCATCCTATTGTCCATCTGGATAGTTCCTTTTCCTGTATTTTCTTTTTTTTAAAAAATTTCTTTTTTGAGACAGGGTTTCCCTCTGTCATCCAGGCCGGAGTGCAGTGGCATGATACCAGCTCCTCTGCTCAGCCTCTTGTGTAACTGAGACTCATGTCTCAGTTGTGGCATGCACCACCACACTTGGCTAATTTGTTTTTTTTTTTCCATAGTGATGAGGTCTCACTACATTGCCCAGGCTGGTCTCGAACTCCTGGGCTCAAGGGACCCTCCTGCCTTGGCCTCCCAAACTGCTGGGATTACAGCCCTGAGCCACCGCACCTGGCCCTTTTCCTGTATTTTCAATTGCTGACACTTCTGAAGTCCCGTCATATCGGCCATGGCATAATTTTTAAATTAGTAGCACTATACTAAACTAATGAGACTGAGTCCAAGTCCACTATGCCTAATGAGAAGAGCAATTTTATGCTAAATGAATGAAACTACACAGAGGGGAAAAGGGCTCTTTCTGCAAGTAAAAGTGATCATGATGTGCACGCATATTTTTGTGAGGTCAATGTACTGTGAAGCTGAGTCTATGTATTCAAAGATTAAATTCTTGAGACAAGTTAACCTTTCTCTTTTATACATGGTAGTATTCAAATAAAGTATCCAAAATCAGTGAAGTTCAGTGTTCATGAGTCCAAATCCATTTAGAAATTTCAATTTTTTTTCTCCAATTCCCACTTTTCAAAGACTTCTGACTGCTGCCTCACAGATCCTTCTGCTAGAATCTGCTTCTCTCATTACTATAAAGCAAATACCTAGCCATTTGACATCCCTTGAACATAGAAATAAGTATTGATACCACATTGGTTTCTTTTCCTACCACTCCTGTAGAGATCAACTAAGATGTATCTAGGGTAGAGAAAGAGAACATTCATAGAGAAGAGTATGACTTGACTATTTAGGGACCACTAATCAAATTGGTTATCCTCCTTCTATAATTTCAGAATGTCAGTAAGGGTGATGTGGAGGCTAGGAAGAATAAAAGCTAAAATTTACTGAGTGTTTCTATGGACTTCACAAGATTTACATAAATTGGTCTTATAAATGCACAATCAATTGCTATTATTTTATCCCTATTTTATGCATCGGATATATAAGGCTTTGAGAGATTAATTTGTCCGAAGACACAAAGCAGTAATAGAAAACCTAGCTTTCAACGCTGCGCAATCTGACTCAAGAAAGCACGTGTTTAACCATAGAGTTGTGGTCGGGTCAATGTTCATCTAATCTTATAATTTTTTTTTTTTTAAATGATCCCAATTCTTCCATGTGAAGGACTGTCTTCCTAAATGTATTTGTATGTGACATGTAACTACCCTTCCAAGCTTTAGTAACTCTCTTTGGTCAGATACAGGGGTATAGCTCAACTTATTTTACAGAGGCACATACCACCTAAATACCTTGCAAAGCTGATTTTCTGTACACAGACTACAACACAGACTTTTAATAAACCCCATGACACAGAGGACCCTTGTTCTAACAACTCAGAAATTTTCAGAGGGTCAGCTAGACACTGGTCTAAACCAAGAAATAAAGTTTTATTCATTTCATGCCCAGAATGACATCTGTTATTTTAAGCTTAAAAAAATCAAATAGTTAAATTAATAGCAAATAATTTACATTTCCGCTTTCTTGTTTCATCCTTTATTTCCACAGTGCATTTGTATATTTATTAATGAACATACACTTTGAATAATATGAGCAGTTCACCAAGCTTAAAGGAGGTTAGAATGTCTAATGTAATTTTTGAAAGAGAAGAAGACTTTAAAAATTGAGACATGCTATATATTTAAAATTAATTAATTTTAAATTAATTTCACCTGAAGCTTATGTTCTCAAACTTTATTTTTTAATTTTGGCATTTATGCTAAAAATACATTTTCAGTATTTACCACGATAAAGTGGTATTTAATTCCAAATACCTTTTCCTCAAAAAACGTAATTATTTTGGAAGAAATTCAGATGAAAAACTCTTTATGCTGCATCATTACTGATGTCAACCATTTATTGAATGGCATAACTAACTCCTGCACATATTTTAACATCAAGCCATGAGACAGTAAATTAACATAAACCCATATAAATATTTTCATAATGAAAAATATTTTATGTGCTTTCTACTGAAATATCTCTATAATATTGTGTTTTTTATTTATTATAAGGTATGTGAGACATTATAACTACTTATTAATTATAGATACTCTAATATAACATCTTATTGTACAAAATAAAATAAGATAAAACTGTTGTAAAATTTGAATGCAAAATTTATTGTTTTGCTGTCATCTAGTGGTAGTAAAGTATATGATACATATGCTATAAAAGTGAATTAAGATCTCTATTTTCTATGCAAATTGTGCCATTGGCCTTTCATATAGAAGCATCAAGCTATGCTATAAATACAACATACGAAATATCAGTAATTCTTCTTATCTGACAGGTTTGAATTTACTGTTATTCTCAAAAATGCGTTTAACATATTGATTTTACATTAAGAGCAAAATTTATCATTCTTACATAAAACCAAACAAATATTTCAGACAACAAAATATTTAAGAACTAAAGAAGGACTCTTTTGAAACAACATGCTTTTTGTGCAAGGAATGTTCATTATTATAGCTTGATAATTTTATAGGCCATTCTGATGGATGGTCAATAAAAACTTGCAAATGTTATTTAATGCGTTATCCTAGAAATTGTATCATTTTTTATATCTGAAAAAGACATGGCCTTTTTCATATCTTTAGACAAAAGAGGCTTGAGGCTTTCACAAGTCACTCAGCTTGAAGAACACTTTGGATCCAAAATCCAGATATTTCATAGATTCAAAACACAAAATTATATTAGGTACTCTATCTTCTAATACTGGGGTTCCCAAACTCAGGGCCATGGACCCATACCAACTTGCTCATGGCCTGCTGGGAACCGGGCCACACAGCAGGAGGTGGAGGTGAGCAGTGGGCGAGCAAGTATTACCACCTGAGCTCCGCCTCCTGCCACATCAGCTGTGTTAGTTTCTCATGGGAGCATGAACCTATTGTAAACTGTGCATGCAAAGGATCTAGGCTGCATGCTTGTTATGAGAATCTAACTAATGCCTGGTGATCTGAAGTGGAACAGTTTCATCCCAAAACCATCTCCCCAACCTGTCTGTGGAAAAATTGTCTTCCACAAAACTGTTCCCTGGTGCCAAAAAGGTTGGGGATTGCTGTTCTAATACATTATATATTTTGGGGAAATTAACTCTGAGCTGTATAAAATGGAAATAAAAATCTATTACATATTTTCTATTCAAATTGAAAGACATGCTAGAGGAGGATGTATAGAGAATGGTAAATTAATGCAACAATAGAGACATTTCAGATAGTAGAAAAGATTATTTTCAATAAATGCTGCAGAAAAAAATAGTTAAGTAGTACAGAAAAAAATTAAATCTTACTTCACATATTAAGCTTAAACAACTATTGAATAGTAATTTCAATATAAAACAAAAAATAAAAAAGGATAATTTTTAAAATATGAGCATCTATAAGGAGATAAGAGGCAGTACCTAGAGCTGGAGAAATAGATTTTAAACAAACAACAATTGGAAAGAAATGTTACTAGGAAACATATTCTGGGTTTAAAAAATTAATATCACACTTTTAATATGTCCCAATGACCCATAAACAAATTAGATGGCAAACACAAGCTAGGAAAAAAATGTTTAAAATACATATTCTAGACAATAATTAATATGGTTACTATATAAAATCCCTAAAAAATAAACAAGGAAAGAAAACTCTTTAAATTCTATAGAAATCTGAACCAAAGAAACCGTGAAAAATAAAAAGTCAACATACATATGAGAAATGTCAAAATTTTTTTAGTAACCCAGAGGTACAAAGTATTCCTTTTTCCTTTTTTCCTATGAAATTGACAAAGATGTGTCATATTCTACTCTGGAAGTGGAGTAGAACACCATTTTTGACATCATTTGACAGTGTCAGTACCTTTAACCCAGCAATCCCACTGTTATGGGTACATCCTAAGGACAGACTCTATAAAGGTCAAAGATGGCAAAGCATTACTTGCTATAAGGAATAACCTTTAAGGTGTGTTTAAATTATGGTTATGTTATATACAGAACTCTATGAAACCATTATAAATTGTTTTCAAATAATATTTAATGACTTTAAAGAATGTTTGCATAGAAGTGCTCATGACAGGCTGGGCACAGTGACTCATGCCCGTAATCCCAGCACTTTGGGAGGCCGAGGCAGGCGGATCACCTGAGGTCAGGAGTTCGAGATTAGCTTTGACAACATGGCAAAACCTGTTTCTGCTAAAAACACAAAAATTAGTCGTGCACGGTGGTGTGCACCTTTAGTCTCAGCTACTCAGGAGGCTGAAGGAGGAGGATCGTTTAAACCCAGGAAGCAGAGGTTGCAGTGAGTCGAGATTGGGCCACTGCACTCCAGCCTGGGCAAAAGAGAGAGACTCCATCTAATAAAAAAAAAAAAAAATGCTCGTGACATAAAGTAAATAAAAAGAATGCAATAGTTAAGTACTCAAACGTATATATATTCATTGAAAAAATAGTATTTTACTTTAAAGTATGCATGTATATTCATGCATAATACATATACATAGGCATTCATAGGAAAATAGAACAAAGGTTAGAAGAAAATACATCAACTTGTTAATGATAGTCATGTCTTTGAGACAAGATTTGAAGTAATTTTTATATTTTTATTATGCTTCTCTGTTTTCCCAATTTTGAAGACAATTAGGCAGAGATATTGGCAAAGCCAAGGAAAATGTTTAACTAGAATAACTTGTAACTTTTAAGTGTTTATTACTTGTAGAGGCAAAACAGAATGAACTGGTTAAAGATAACTGATCCAGAAACTTGACTGGCTTCCAAAGAGCCAATAGATCAATTATGTGAATCTCTGTTCTGTTCTGAACAGTTTAAATCTTTCACAGTTTTACATTTTTAAGGAAAAGAAAGAAGAATGTGGTTGGTTGTGTTCATGTGAGGCAAACACCTTTACATCTTGTGATGTAAAATGCTGGAAATTTTAATCTATTCCTTTTCACTTGACTACATGCAAAGGACTTGGAGCAGTTAACCAGTGACTATTTCTGCTTGGTTCTCAAATTTAAATCCACTTGGGGTTTTAGTGTCTTAACACCTATGTTTCCAGCACTGTATTAATATTGTTTAAGAGCAAAAACAGCACATACAGACTGGCTACATATGAAAAAAAAAACCAATGGATGGAACAACTCCAAAATCCCCTAAAGACCTTCAGCTCTAAGAATCTCTGATTACCTTCCCACCAGGAGCGTTATTTAATGGATTTATATACTTCCTCACCTACTCATGCCAAGTGAGATGAAAGGGCTTGCATGAGTCAGGAAAGAAAAATACTAGCTTGTCTCCATGTCAACAATGACAACAAAAATATTAATTTGAGAAACTATCCACTTTGCTCCCAGGAAAACATAGCAGAAAATAAAATACGCTGTTATGAAGTGCTTCATTAACTGGGTGGGAAGGGTGGTCACTTTGATATAACTACTCTGCCAAAAGATGTCTGCATTCTTTTCTATTCTTGGCCAAGGAGTTCAAATTTAAGAAACAGTGAAGGAGCATTTAATAAATGCAGCAATGTCACAGAATGGCCCATATCTACACCCAATTTCCCCTATGCAAACATGCAACAAACTTCCAACGGTTTAAGGGTTTTGGTTCAGCAAACTCTTGTTATATGTGAAACAATCACACATAAAACACTGTACACTGCAGGCTGACAGCACACATTAAGTGCTAATTATTGCTATTATTCTTCTAGCTGTACACACATTAATAACACTTTCTTAACTTATCTTCTAGCAAAGGAGGCTCTTCATCAAAACTGTCAATGTAAGGAGACTGTGAATAATAATCTGAGTTGGATGCTGGCTGAAAAAATTGTCCTGCATAACGTGGTGACATGAGTGTCTCTGATGGAACAAAAGAGGCAGGCTGAGGCTGCTCACCAGCTTGATGTCTAGAAAAAGAAAAATACAAACATATTTAGGTCTAAGAAAAAGGTATCATGACAAATAAAGTAGGAAAGTTACAATTTTACTTATATGAATTCACGTAGTTTTTACTCATGAAAGAAACAACTTACTTAAAATTTAACTTTGGTCCAAAAATGTAAAATAACTGGTCATCTAAAGGCTTCTGGAAAAAATAATCCATATCAATAAACATTAATTGAGCATGTACAACATGCTGAATGCTTCCACTAATCTTTTCTCAATTAAAACTCTATAAGGTAAAAGCTGTATTTCTAATCTCATTTTACAGAGAAAGACACAGAACTTCACAGAGACTAAATGACTTGTCCAGTAACACAAAATAACATTGCAGGTGCTGGACTCTGGCATGAAGCTTTCTGAACAGTGATCTGCTCATCACACACTGCTGCTTTTTTACTTATCTTCAGGGACAGTCTCCAGCAACGAAGCCCCTCCAAATATGTGGAAGCAGCAAGGAAAAATTATAATTTTAATAGTATAGTCAACTGATAAGAAAAATAAATACATATACTAATCACTGTGTATAAGGAAATATATACTTCAGTTCTGGCCAGTTCTGTTGGTAATGACAATCATTACCAACAGAACTGTCTCTGAGTTCCTGGCTAAATGTATTATCTAGTTGGCTTCAGTGTCTCTTTATTTGTACAAATTTATGGGGTACATATAAAGTTTTGTTACATGCATAGATTGTGTAGTGGTCAAGTTAGAGCTTTTAGGATATCCATAACCCAAATAACATTCATTATATGCATTAACTAATTTCTCATCACTCCTTTCCTACCCTCTCACCCTTCCAAGTATCAACTGCCAATGATTCTACTCTCTACCTCCATGTGTACATATTTTTAGCACCTTTATGAGTAAGAACATGTGATATTTGATTTTCTGTGCCTGGCTTGTTTCACTTAAGATAGTGACTTCCATTTCCATGTATATTGTTGTAAATGACATGATTTTATTCTTTTCATGGCTGAATGGTATTTCATTGTATATATACCACATTTTCTTTATTAATTCATCCACTGGTGGATACTAGGTTAATTTCATGTCTTTGCTATTGTGGATAGTGCTTCAATAAACATATGAGTGCAGGTACCTTTTTGATATATTGACTTCTTTTCCTTTGGATATATACCCAGTAGTGGGATTGTTTGATAAAATAGTCATTCTATTTTTAGTTCTTTGAGATATCTTCATACTGTATTCCATAGAGGCTAATAATTTACATTCCCATCAACAGTGTATAAGAGTTCCCTTTTCTCTACATCCCCATCAACATCTGTTACTTTTTGTCACTTTAATAAGAGCCATTCTGACTGGGGGAAGATGATATCTCACTGTTGTTTTAATTTTCATTTCACTGATGATTAGTGATGTTGAACATTGTTTCATATAATTGTTGGCCATTGGTATGTCTTCCTTTGAAAAATGTCTATTCATATTCTTGCCCACTTTTTTCTTTTTTTAAAATTTTGTATTTCCATAGGTTTTGGGGAAACAGGTGATATTTGGTTACATGAATAAGTTCTTTAATGGTGATCTGTGAAATTTTGGTGCACTCATCACCTGAGCAGTATAAATTAAACCCAACTTGTAGTCTTTTATTCCTCATACCCCTCCCACCCTTTCCCTTGAGTTCCCAAAGCCCCCTGTATTATTCTTATGTCTTTGCATTCTCATAGCTTAGCTCTTACTTACAGAGAGAACATACAATGTTTGGTTTTCCATTCCTGTGTTACTTCACTTAGAATAATACTCTCCACTTCCATATAGGTTGCTGCAAATGCCATTAATTCATTCCTTTTTATGGTTGAATAGTAGTCCAAAGTGACTAATATACAGAATCTACAAGGAACTCAAATTAGCAAGAAAAAAACAAACAAACTATCTCATCAAAAAGTAGGCTAAGGACATAAACAGACAATTCTCAAAAGAAGATATATAAATGACCAACAAACATAGGAAAAAATGCTCAACATCACTAATAATCAGGGAAATGCAAATCAAAACCATGATGCGATACCACCTTACTCCTTGCCCACTTTTTAATGGGATTGTGTCAGGGTTTTTTGGCTGTTGAGTTTCAGGGTTTTTTGTTTGTTTGTTTGTTTGTTTTTTGCCATTTGTTGGCTATTTTTATTGCTGATTCAATCTTGCCACTCATTATTGGCTGGGGACCAAAGCCAGATGGAGCTGGACTAGGCAAGCTTGCACTCAGGCCCGCTTGCACTCAGGCCCGCTAGTCATGAGTGCATGCACCAGCCATGAGTGCATGCACCACTCATGAGGGCAAAACAGTCCATCAAAAAGTGGGCTAAGGACATAAACACAATTCTCAAAAGAAGATATACAAATGACCAACAAACATAGGAAAAAATGCTCAACATCACTAATAATCAGGGAAATGCAAATCAAAACCACGATGCAATACCACCTTACTCCTTGCCCACTTTTTAATGGGATTGTTTCAGGGTTTTTGGCTGTTGAGTTCAGTTCCTTGTATGTCTGGTTTTTAGTCCCCTGTCAAATGAATATTTTCCAAGTATTTTCTCCCATTCTACTAGCTGGCTGTTCACTCTGTTGATTATTTCCTTTGCTGTGCAGAAATTTTTAATTAAATCCCATTTGTCTATTTTTGTTTTTGTTTCCTATGCTTTTGAGGTCTTAGTCATAAGTTCATTGCCTAGACTAATGTCCAAAAGTTTTCCGTATGTTTTATTCAAGCATTTTTATAGTTTTAGGTTTTATGTTTAAGTCTTTAATCCATCTTGAGTTTATTTTTGTATATGGTGGGAGATAGAGGTCCAGTTTAATTCTTCTGCAAATGGCAATCCAATTGTCCCAGCACCATTTATTGAAAAGCGTGTCCTTTTTCCAACTTACGTTGTTGTCAGCATTGTCAACGATTAGTTAGCTGTAAATATGTGACCTTATTTATGTGTTTTCTATTATTTTTCATTGATGTATCTGTCTATTTTTATAGCAGTATACCATGGTGTTCTGGTTACTATAGCCTTGTAACATAATTTCAAGTCAGGTAATGAGATGCCTCTAGGTTTGTTCATTTTTCTCAGAATTGCTTTGGCTATTTGGGCTTTCTTTCTCGTTCTGTATGAATTTTAGGATAGTTTTTTTCTAATTCTGTTAAAAAACGATGCTAGTATTTTGATAGTGATTGCATTGAATCTATAGATTGCTTTGGGCAGTATGGTCATTTAAACAATATTAATTCTTTCAATCCATGAGCATGAGATGTTTTTCCATTTGTTTGTGTCATGCACAATATTTTTTCATCAGTGTTTTGTCATTATCCTTGTAGGTATCTTTCACCTCCTTGTCTAATAAATGTATTCCTAAATTTTGTTTGTAATTATTGTAAACAAAATTGCCTTCTTGATTTCTTTTTCAGGTAGACAGTTATTGCTGTATAGAAATGTTACTGATTTTGTATGTTGATTTTATACCCTACAGCTTTACTGAATTCATTTATTAACTCTAAAAGGATTTGGTGAATTCCTTAGGTTTTTCTAGAAATAAGATCATATCATCCAATTTCCAATTTGGATGGCTTTTTTCTCTCTTGCCTGATTTCTCTAGATAGGATTTCCACTACTATGTTGAACAGGAATGGTGAGAGTGAGCATTTTGTCTTGTTTCAGTTCTTAGAGAAAATGCTTTCAACTTTTCACATTCAATATGATGTTATCTGTGGGTGTGTCCTAAATAGAGTTTATTATTTTGAGGTACATTCCTTATATTCCTAGTTTGTTGAGGGATTTTATTATGAAAGGATGCTGAATTTTCCATTGAAACAATCATATGGTTTTTTTCCTGGGCTCTGTTTATGTGATTTATCACATTTATTGCTTTACATGTATTAAATCATCCTTTCATCCCTTGTATAAAACCTACTAAATCATGACATATTATTTTTTGATGTGCTGTTGCATTTGATTTGCTAGTATTTTGTTGAGGATATTTGCATCTATGTCCATCAGACCTATTGGTCAAGTTTTTGTTGTTGTTGTGTCCTTGTCTGGTTTTGGTATCAGGTGTTACTGGCCTTGTAGAATGACTTAGAGAAAATTCCCTCCACCTGAATTTTTGGGAACAGTTTCAGGAGGATTAGTATTAGTTCTTTTATTGTACATTTGGTAGAATTCAGCTGTAAATTCATCTGGTCCAGGTCTTTTCTTTGTTGAGAGACTTTTTATGGCTGATTCAATTTTGTCACTTATTATTGGTTGAGGGCCAAAGCCAGATGGAGCTAGACTGGGCAAGCTTACACTCAGGCTCCCCAGTCATGAATGCATGCACCAGCCATGACAGGTGGGGGAGAAACAGTCCTCAGGACTCTGGTAGAATTCTTGGGTAAACTGTAGTCACCACTGCACTGAGGTCCTGCCACGAGAAGGGTGGGACCAGTCCCAGTGGCCATAGCCTTGGTCAGTGAGTAAGAGACTTGCTCCCTTCTTACAGCCCCCAGTCTGGACAGGGTTCACTCCCCTATCTCAGGTGTCATAGCCATCCCAACTGTTCAGTTAGACCCCATGCCCCTCAGTTCATGCTCATGGCCCATAGGAGTCCCCACTTAGCTCAACAGTAAGGCTTCATGGCAACTGTCATCCTGCTTGAGTAGGAGCAGTATCTGCTTCCCGCACTGGTGGCTGCAGCCCATGCCACACTAGCTTCTTAGTCTTGGTTGTTAGGGCCAGCCCCTAGTTCACACCCCAGTTCTGCAAACAGCAGCCCAAGTTTCCCTAATGCCTAGGACTGAATTCTCAGGACTTCACACAGTCTGTTAAGGGCTAAGATCTAGAATGGTGTCTTGCTATAGCTGCCTGGGTTTCAGAAACAGCATGGAATACAAGGCATGCTCCCTCTCTAAAGCAGTTCCTTCTCACAGTTTCCTGGTTGCTTTCTAAGTTAGACTTAGGGCTTGAGAGGGTCAAGGTGCTCTCCCATATCCTGGATTGTGCAATTCCCCAGCAGAAGAGTGGACCGCATAAAGACTCTCACTCACCCTCTCCTGTACTGGGGAGTCATTCCTGGTTCTTGGCTGGTCTTGGCCATGTATGCTGCCTATTTTCCTTCCCCTTCCTAGCTTTTGGTGTTTTCCGTCACTTTCCTGTTGAATTCCAGTGTTCTGCCTTGGATAATATATTAGAAGTGTGATTGTCCACACACCGTTTTGCTTCTTCTAAGTGGATAAAGCATGCTTGAAATGCTCCAAGCCAGCCATCTTGAACAAAAAAAAAATAGTCCCTCTCTTAAAATAGGCGATTTAATTTTGCCAAACCAAAATACCTCTTTGACATGTTTTTGCTGTTTATTTTTATTCATTTTAAATTGTTTTTACCTTAAAGAATGGAAAGAAACATAGAGCTATCCAGTAACATGTTTTAAATTTCTTTCACAAAAGCCCTTGGGGTAAACTAAATATACAGTCCAAGGTTCTGAACTTGGTAACTCCCTGTGATTTCTTTATGATAAAATATTTACAAAATGGCCTTTAGTACTTTCCTTCAAATATTAATCTTAATATGAAATCTAAGAATAACATATTTGACCTCCTTTATGTGAGTTAGCCTGACCAAGAGAATAACTTATTTAGGAAAAGAAAGCCACATATATAGAGGGGGGACATACACACTTAATCATTTACTAATTCAAATGTATACTCATTAAGAGCAAGAGCCTGGTGTAATACTATTTGAACCTACCAGAATGTATGGTGATTACCTGCTATTATTTTTCACTTAGCCATGTGTAATATTCCTAATGTATTTTCCAGTAAAATAGGCGCACCATCAAAAATACTGGTAGAAACAAATTAGAATAGGAATCTGAATGGCTTTTTTCTTGATAAAAATCCCCCAATACCTATTTTTTTAATGTAAGCCTTTCCAGAAAAATGAAAGGGACACATAAAGATGACTAAATGGACCAATGTCTAAGTAAAACTATGTCATTGCCGTACTTGTCTGGCCTCACCATAACTTACATCAGGTGCTACTAATCAGGCTTGAGTAAACATAACTTTCACAGTTATTAGCTGCAAAGCAACCTTTGTGAACGGGTGGACTATTTCAGGTAGTAACTTTGACTCATCCTCTTCAAACAGAAACAAAATTTTACAGAAAAAGGTTCTCAGGAGCTTAGCTTCTATTGTCCTTATTGTAATGGGGGTATAATATTAAAATTCCTCTACCACGTATTTAAGAAAGTAAAAATTTAAAATTTGTTGCATAAAGGAAAATACAAAATTTATAAAATTACCATGCTCACCTTTGATAACTATCTAAATTTAAATTATGTTTTTCTTCATCTTATATCTTTGTATAGCATTACTGTAATATTAAATGTTGCATCTCAATAAAAATAGCACAACCAATACCAAAAGAATCACATTATTAGTCCAAAGTATGACCCAAAAATCTGTAAATGATATGGTTTGGATCTGTGTCCCCACCGAAATCTCACGTAATCTCCAATGCTGGAGGTGGGGCCTAGTGGGAGGTGATTGAATTATGAGGGCAATTTCTCACGAATGGTTTATCACCATCCCCCTAGGGCTGTTCTCGTGATAGAGTTCTCATGAATCTGATTTTTAAAAAGTGAGTAGCACTTTCCACTTCTCTCTCTTGATCCTGCTCCTGCCATGTGAGATACCCACTTCTTTGCCTTCCACCATGAGTAAAAGCTCCCTGTGGTCTCCCCAGGAGCAGCTATTGCCATGCTTCCTGTTCAGCTTGTGGAATCATGAGTCAATTAAACCTCTTTTCTTTATAAATTATCCAGTCTCAGGTATTCCTTTATAGTAGTGCAAGAATGGCCTAATACAAGAAACTGGTGCTGAGGAGTGGGGGCTTTGCTTTAAAGATACCTGAAAATACGGAAGTGGCCTTGGAACTGGGTAACAGGTAGATGTCGGAAGACTGTGGAGGGCTCAGAAGAAGACAGGAGGATGAGGAAAAATTTGGAACTTCCTAAATATTCATTAAATTGTTATGACCAAAATGCTGACAGTGATATGGACAACAAAGTTTACACTGAGATCTCAGAGGGAGATGAGAAACTTAGTGGGAACTGGAGTAAAAGTCACTTTTGCTATAGTTTAGCAAAGAGCCTGGGTGCATTGTGTCCCTTCTCTAGGGATGTGTGAAACTTCAAACGTGAGAATGATGGTTTAGGGCATCTAGTGGAAGAAATTTCTAAGCAGTAAAGCATTCAAGATGTGACCTGGCTGCTTCTAACAACCTATGTTTATATGTATGAGCAAAGAACTGATCTGAAACTTGAAATTTTATTTAAAAAAGAAGCAGAGTGTAAAAGTTAGGAAGATTTGCAGAATGGCCAAATGGTAGAAAACAAAAGCACATTTTCAAGGGAGGAATTCGAGAAGTCTGCAAAAAATTGCATAAGTGAAAAAAAGGAGCTATGTGCTATTAGCCAAGAAAACAGGAAAAGGACTCAAAGGCCTTTAAGTGACCTTTGTGTCAGTCCCTCCCATCACAGGCTCAGAGGCCTAGGAGGGAAGAATGGTTTTGTAGGCCAGGCCCAGGACCCCACTTCCCTTCATAGCCTCAGGACATTGCTCCCTGCATTCTGGCCACTCCAGCTCCAGTCTTGGGGCAAAGTGAGCCCAGTTACAGTTCACTGCTTCAGAGGATGCAAGCCCTAAGTCTTGGTGGCTTCCACATAGTGTAAAGCCTGCAGGTGCACAGAGTGCAAGAGTTGAGGCTTGGAAGCCTCCACCTAGATTCCAGAGGATTTATGGAAAAGCCCGGATGTCCAGGCAGAAGTCTGCTGCAGAGGTGGAGCCCTCATGGAACACCTCTACCAGGGAAGTGTGGAATGAAAAGGAGGGGTTGAAACCCCCACACAGAGTCTCCACACAGAGTCCCTCACAGTGCAGCTGTGAGAAGACGGCCATCATTATCCAGACCCCAGAATGGCAGATCCCCCAGAAGCTAGCAACCTGCATCTAGAAAAGTCTCAGGCATTCATCACCAGTACTTGAGAGCAGTCGCAGGGGCTGCACCCTGCAAAGCCACAGGGTTGGAGCTGCTGAAGACCTTGGGAGCCCACCTCTTGCATCATTGTTACCCGGATGTGGGACATGAAGTCAAATGAAATTATTTTGAAGCTTTAAGACAGGGGTGCCCAATCTTTTGGGTTCTCGGGGCCACACTGGAAAAAGAAGAATTGTGTTGGGCCACACATAAAATATACTAACACTAACGATAGCAGATGAGCTAAAAAGAAAATATGCAAAAGTATCTCATAACGTTTTAAGAAAGTTTATGAATTTGTGTTGGGCCACATTAAAGCCACCATGGGCTGCACACAGCCTGTGGGTTGTGGGTTGGACCAATTTGCTTTAAGATTAATGACTACACTGCTAGGTTTTAAACTTGCATGGGGCATTCCCTTTTTTTCTGGCCAATTTATCCCTTTTAGAATGCCTACACCAATGCCTACACCTCCATTGTATCTTGGAAGTTACTAATTTGTTTTTGATTTTATAGGATGATAGGCAGAAGGGACTAGTCTTCAGGTGAGACTTTGGACTTGGACTTTTGAGTTAATGCTGGAGTGAGTTAAGACTTTGGGGAACTGTTGGGAAGGGTTAATTTGAACTTTGACATGTAGAACATGAGATTTGGGTGGGACACAGATCCAGACTATATCCTTCTACCACTGGACCCTCCCAAATCTCATGTTGAAATGAAATTCCCAGCTGGAGGTGGGGCCTAGTGGGAGGTGATTGGATCATGGAGGTGGTTTCTCATAGATGGTTTAGCACCATTTCCCAGTGCTGCTCTCATGATAAAGTTATCATATCTGGTTGTTTAAAGATGTGCAGCACCTCCTCGCTCTCTTGGTCCTGCTTCTGCCATGTGAGACTCCTGCTCCTGCTTTGTCCTCCGCCATGAATAAAAGCTTCCTGAGGCTTCCCCAGAAGCAGCTGCAACCATGCTTCTTCTACAGCCTGTGGGACTATGAGCCAATTAAACTTCTTTGCTTTAACCCAGTCTCAAGAATTTCTTTATAGCAGTGTGGCAATGGCCTGATATAGTAAATAACCCAATTCTTATGTTTTAGGTTTTTTTTTTGTTTTTTTTTTTTTTTTGTTTTTTTGGTTTTTTTTGCCAAAAATTTCTATGAACAACCTTAATTTTAAGCACATGTTATGAATTTACATTTAGTCCCCTATGTCTTCTGGTATTCTCCTTTTTTTTTTTACTAAGTGGCACTAACTCTGAATGGCTACACCAATGAGTTTTCATATATTCTTAGAGACATCTTTCAAACCTACAATATCCTTTCATGAAAAAAGTATCTGAGATAATGGATCTGGACACTTCACTATTTGCTCCATTAAGCTTATAGTCCTTGATGATTAACCTATTAGAGGTAACGTAATGAGTCAGATTAATATGCTCAATATTTAAGATGTTAAAGTTATATATTTGTACCTCACTCACAATAAGTCTTTTGCAGAATATGCCAAGAAAATGTAACTCTTCTCCTGTATTACACCATTAGTTCTACTGAAAGATAAATACTGAAATTGTGATAATTTCAAATTCAGCACATTATTACAGATAAAATAAATGTTAACTGAATTAGATCAAAAGAAACTGATCTCTGGCTTGTTGAATTTAAACTTTAGATTTGTTAGTAAACACCTCCTCTTCCTTTAAAAATCACTTCAAACTACAGAGAAGTGACTGTGGGGCTCCTTTAGAACAATCAGCAAATTTCATGTATAAGTACTCATAAATACATATACATTCATTGAAAAACAGTATTTTATTTTTTTTTATATATATATATATAAAATATACACGTTCATAGGAAAATAGAATACAGGTAGCAAGGAAGTACACCAAATTGTTAATAATAGTCATTTCTTGGAGACAAGATTTGAAGTGATTTTAATATTTTATTCATATTTTCTATATCTTCCAAATTCTATACTGGATACAATTAGATATCAGATAGTTTTCTAAAAGCAGAGATGTTGGTGGAGTCAGGAAAAACGTTTAACAAGAACAGTTCACAACTTTTTGGTGTTTATTAATTCCGGAGGTAACACTGAATTAAGTAGTTAAACATAGCTGATTCAAAACCATATTTGTGTAACTTATCTATGTGAATTTCCAATTAAGCCTGTAAACTTAGGCAATTTAAGTGCCCTTGGTAAGACCTTATCAAATAGGATGAATTTGGTGGTAGCATGAGTCAGGGAGTGGTAGCTGGGAGAGTTGGCTTCCGCAACATTCCTAGACTCTGGTTGGTCCAGCTGGGTGCACAGTGATGCCTTAACCGTGTTTGAAATACTAGAAGATCAGGTCTGAGGATTCAGAAAAGACGCTGATTCAGTATTTATCTGTTAAAGTCCTACCAAACCACTCAAAGGGATTTTTCCAGTTGTTTACACCCTTCTGCAACAGTATCTATTTCTTTTTTCCAAATAATATGAATAGATTTCACATTTCAAAAGGTGGAAAAATATAGCCTCAGTAACTAGTTATAGATGGTTGTAAATTATCCCTATCTGAATGATGGAATAATTATGTTTTTAAAAAGATAACGATCCTACTGTTCATTCTAAAATAAGAAAACTTGTTTTTAAACATAAATATCTTCACTGTCTTAGTGAGCACAGTCATCCAGCTTTCAGATCAGTACACTATTGAGCCAAACAGGCTTTTGAAACAAGCTCTCATATACTGTGAACAGGGTAAGGAAGAGAAGGGAGTGAAAGAGACAGGCAAAGACAGAGACAGAGAAACAGAAGCTGAATTACTGATTATAGCTATTCTCTAGGTTGCTATATCTTTTGCCAGAATGATCATTATCTTGTTCTGATTTCGGGTACATTTTAATTGAACTATTCATGGTATGCATAAAAGATCAAATCTCTGGATTTCCTTTGATGTACATAGTAAATCACTGACCTGATTCCATGTTTTATGTACCTCATAAAACTACCACAGCTACTATGCCCTTTCCTAATTCCTGAGATGTACAGTGTGAATCAGAATTTAAATGTTGCTGCATCCAAATCAGGACTTGGATTTAAATGCTAAGCATCTGAAGCAGGGTAGGCCATCAACCTGGTACTGTAAAATTATGAGCTTTCCTCGTCTGGCTACATTAATTTCCATCTCTTTGTCATTTTGATTTCTAGGAGATGTTTAGTCAAATGGAAAAAGAAAATTAGAGTGTGTGGGGTGGGTGGATAAAGCTGTGGTCCATGAGTCCTAGCTTAGGGAGAAAGTTTTTTCTCTCTCATTGTACATTTTAGTTTAATTTAATCTGAAAATATCAATGCTACCCAAATGCTAATCTTATCTGGAAAAGAGAGTAGAGAAAAGAAACAGAAGGTTTAAGGCAACTAGTTCCTTTCTACAAAACAGAACAGAGCTTAAAAAGCCTAGTAGATAGCTTTCATTGCGGATTGCAAATTTAGAGTGACCACCTTTGTGTACCTTAGTGCTCAAACTACTCCCTTTGCCTCAAACACTTCCCTGGTTTTTTTTTTTTTCACCTTCCAAAGTGTAAATCATAAAAGGCAGCCTGACTAGTGCTACACAGGATAGCATAGGAGTGTGAATTAGATACAATTCCAGATATTCAACTTTTCCAGCCTAAAAAAATTATATCTCAATACCTTTCCCTATCTTGAAAGCAGCATCTATTTGCTTATACCTATAGGAGTGATCAGTCAGTAAAAAGAGAGTCAATTTATTTCTGGGCAGAGTGGGAACAGAAGACTCCCCACTGTCCGTTATATGTATTCTGTCTTTTCATCTTTCTATCTGGAACTTTTAAGGTGTGTGTGTGTGTATAATAAAGCTTCAAAAATTAATACATTTGAAATATACCACACATCCTAATTTATGGTACAGTTTATTCCTATTATCCCAACATTATTATGATAGCACTAATTTTACACTTTAAAAAGTCTTTATTTTAATAAAGTCATATGCTCACACTAGTTATAGCCCTAATCAAACAACCTTGAGCTAAAATCCTAATCCCATTTTTTACTAGATGTGTAACCTTGAGAAAGTCTCTTAATTTCTCTGTACGTCTGTCTTCTCATGCAAAATGGGGGTGATAGCGCAAGTTGAGTATCCTTTATCTGAAATGCTTGGGACCAGACTGCTTTAGATTTCAGATTTTTGTGGATTTTTGAATATTTACAGAATACATTCTGGTTGAGAATCCTTAATCTGAAAATTAAAAATCTGAAATGCTCCACTGAGCATTTCCTTTGAGTACATGTCAGTGTTCAAAAAGTTTTGGATTTGGGGACATTTCAGGTTTTTGATTTTGGATTTGGGATGTTCAGCCTGTTCAGCCTGGTGCTCCAATGAGTTATTGTATATAATTGAGGATCTAATGAGTTAATTTATATAATTTCAGAACTGTTCCTAACATATAATAAAAACCCAATATATTGTGGTTATTATGAAAGTTGAACAGTCTGACTCTTCTTGCCCTCTAACCTAGACCCACAAAATTTCCAAGAAATCAATTATTTAACAAAATACAGTATACTTAAGTGACTTTAGGTAACAAAGTGTCAATTGCTTTTGTAAGTCATATTTATATGAATAAATAATATTTATATAGTGGTTTTACTTTAATACACACTTTTCCTACACATTATCACAATTTTTAATAACAATTCCATTAAGCAGGTATTATTAATGTCCTTATTTTTCAGATTAAGACAGTCAGAGAAGTTAAGTCATCCCAATATCACAGACAAAAATGCCAAAGCCAGAATTTGAACCAAATTCTTCTTATTCTAAACACCATATTTTGCCACTATCAAATTCTTAATCATTTTGTTTCATTTTCAACTCAAGTTGAATTTTTACCTCAAATAGCTATCATATTTTGACATGTTTACCTTGATTCCATTATGGTATTTTTCATACTTTAATTGCATATTGAATCACTCAATTCTTCAACATAAAAATATTAAATTGCACAAGAGAAAAAACTATGAATTTCATCATTATATTTGGATGTGCAGTGCCCTTCTTAATTTCTGAAACACAAGCAGAATTTCAATAAATGCTTATTAAATTAAATGAAATCAGTTTCACAAGAAGTGTCCTGGAAAATATTAGGCAAAAGGAAAATGCTTTCTGTTTGCCCAGTGCCTGTATCCCAGCTCCCTGCTAAGTGATAGTTTGAAAAGAGGAGACAAGCCATTCACTTGGCTTAGGCTGAGGTGATAAAGGGGATTCATGGAGAACTTGATTAATTTCTCTGTCCTTTCCTGACACTTCTTCTTGGGCAATTTACTGAGATATGTTGAGGCAAACGCTGGTTTTTCCCAAGGAAATCTCCCTCTCTAGAAATCCCAGTCATAATATTAAGACTTCTTAAAATAACAATACAGCCTAGTACGGTGGCTCACACCTATAATCCAAGCACTTTGGGAGGCCCAGGGGGGCGGATCACTTGAGCTCATGAGCTCGAGGCCAGCCTGGGCGACATGGCCAAACCTTGTCTCTACTTAAAAAAAAAAAAAAAAAAAAAAGGCCAGGCATGGTGGTACACACCTACAATCCTAGCTACATGGGAGGCTGAGGCACAAGAATCACTTGAACCCAGGAGGCAGAGACGGCAGTGAGCCAAGATTGCACCACTGACTCCAGACTTACAAAAGCAACTGATACTTTGTTACCTAAAGTCACTTAAGTATACTGTAGATATTTTGTTTATTAGTTGTTTTCCTGGATATTATTTTGTGGGTCTAGGTTAGAGGGCAAGAAGGGTCAGACTCTTCAAATTTCGTAATAACTACAATATATTGAGTTTTTACTGTATGTTAGGAACTGTTCTGAAATTATATAAATTAATTCATTGGGTGACAGAGTGAGACTGTCAAAAAAAAAAAAAAAAAAAAAGAACAATATTAAGTACTTACTTTCTATATCCATAAAGATTTCCATAGGCATTAGAGTCATCACCACTGTGCTCCTGGTTATCAATAGTAAAATTAGATTGGTAAAAATCAGAGTCAAATTGTGCCAAGTTTGACATCCTGAAAAATAAGAGTATGTTTTTAATAAGTTCACGAGTCAATAAAACTTGGTTTGAGATATTTACAAAGCTCAACTGACAATGTGGTTATGGCTGGATTCCTATCAGAAAACAAGATGTCCTTTGAATGGGGTCAATAAGGTATTGGGGGAAGGGTATAGAAATATATGCTAGAAAGTTATTTACAAAATGTGTTATCTTCAACTACTTTGTCTGAAGTTTTCACACCCTGGACTGTGGCTTTTAATATGTTGACTTTAATTGATCTGAAAGAACTAATTTTCTCCAAATATCTTATTCTTAGCAATTTAAGAGAAAAAGCTTAAAACTTAGGACACATCTAGAAGGATTTCCCTAAAATGACGTGTTTTTCACTTTAAGCGTGCACGCGCGCACACACACACACACATAGAAAGGATTATTATCTGCAAATGGCTGATAATAATAATACTTCTTCCCAAAGCAAAACCAAAACCCTACAAACCTATTTCCTTGTTCTACTTGGCACTTCTTAAAAAGTGTTTGGATTATTTTCCTTTTTCTTTTGCTCTGGACACTGCACCTGGGCTTCTGGCTGAGTCCGAAAGAAAAAGACTCAATCCTGCTAAGGAAAGTCTTTTCTATACACTCTCTCTATAGTTTCCACTCACTTCTGGGAGTAAAGAGGAGTGATTGTTTTTGAATTTAGACCTAATGGCCAGGAATACAAGAGGGAAAAATAAAGAACTGAGAGAAGGAAGAGGTATAGGAGAAGAGGATCTAAGAGAGGTAATAGTGGCTCTTTGGACAAAAAGTAGAGAATAGAGAAGAGACTCTTTTCAACTGGACAGATGTGGTTATTCAACTCAACATTTAATTCTTTATTTTTCTTTGAAAATCTTCTTATTTTAAAAGAGTGGATTTAAAAATCACCAGGAGTAATCCATATACTTATAATAATATGTGGAATACTACTTATAAGAAATCTCAAATGAAATTGCATAAACAGCCTCAACTCTAAGGATATCATTAATCAGAAATATTCAAGTAACAATTGTTAAATATATTAAATTTGTTCAGTTCAATAAAAACACAAAAAGCTTCTCTAGAATTAGATGCAGTGATTCATACATCTGATGCAATAAATCAAGGTTTTACATTAGTAATGTGTATAAAAGTAGCTATGAATTATGTAAACTAAAATCAGGACTTAGTGATAAATCTTTTAACAACTTATAAGTTAAAGAACTTAAAATGTGATAGCATAACTTTCTCAACACATGAAAATACGTTATTATAAAGCAAAGAGAGTAATTGAGAATACACTAAATTTTCATAACATGCAAAGCTTTATGTAATATGACTATTGGTAGTACAGTACTTACTTAACAGAGCTTTGTATTTTGTTGAAATGCCAAGTCTTTTAGAAGGATCAGTCACATACCTCTTATTTATTTTTTATGGAAAGATCCTCCAGTAAAAGTAGCTTTGCGTGAGAAATTTAAAGCAAATCCTTTGGTGAAAAGATGACATGCTGGCTATATATACACCTTTCTAAATTTGTACTCTGACATCCTGAGCAGATGCTATAGCCAAAAATAAAAAAGCCTGCCAAAAGCCAAATACAGTATCTTATAACACTTATTATGGTTTACAAACACAGTGAACAGTGTACAGACATATAATTTGATAATATGGAAATTGTGGAATGATAGATACAGTTTCCTTGTGTACGTGTCTATTAAACTCTGAGGTAAGATCATTTATTTGAGGCAAGCAGTTAAAAAGAGGCCTCAATGTCCCTTCCGTTTCATGGATTTCCTAATAATATGCAGTAAAAATCAAAATATGGCACATGATCTTATCGTGAAGATCTCAGCACCAAAATGAAAATGAGTTGTGGTCAATTTTACCTAAATCAGAGCTGTTCTGTTTATATGAGCAATATTTATGAAAACTAATTATGGTCTACCTCTGACTTTTTTCCTGCTTCCTACTTTTCCAGCAGAGGCCAAGATGGATATGCTAATGGGATCTAATGCTTCTTACTTGACGGAGAGGTTCTGTACATTTTCGAGCCAATTCTAACCACTGGAAGGTGTTAGGCCCATCCCCACCCCAGGAAGCTCCCTGAGTTGGCCCTTTTCTGTATCACTGGGTCACTGCTGGGAGCCTACTCTCTGGTTCTGACCCAGTTAACCTGGCTAATACTATCAATTCTATCTAGATCTGGCGTTCTCATCCCTAATATTAATCACATGGTTGGAAGTCAAGTTCCCCTGTGGTTTGCTTCCTGCTGATTCTCTTTTTTAGGACTTAAAACTTCCCATGCATCCAAATCTCAGTAACTGAAATTTTATGTCCAAATGCAGGTAATTTGGCACCTAGAAATCTTCAACTGGAGCCAATGGCAGAAAGCTGAAGTAATTTCTTTCCACATTGTTTAAAAGAGTTTGGAATTTGAATGTCTGTAATCACAGCTGCCCTTCCTACATTACTAGTCAGGCAACAATTGTTCACACATTTATCAAGGGAGTACTGTTGAGTTCCAGACTCTGTTCTAGATACCAGGTTTCAGAAACAGGCAAACTAAGAGTTACATCTTAGTACTGATTTTGCTACACCTACACCTAATAATAATGATTAACTGGGCATTGTTCTACAGACTTTAAGTCATTTAATTTTTGTAACAACCTGATAAGGTATTATTATCCCATTTTACAGAAAAAGAAATGGAGATTGAATAATTTTCCCAAGGCCATTAGCTAGTAGCTGAAAAAGTCAATGTTTGAAACCTAATTGAGTTCAGAACTCACATTATCCAAGATAGTTTCAGGAATTAAACAATAGAATATGCTATTAAGATGGAGCGTGCAAAGGGCAGAGGATTTGAATACTCAGGGAAGGATTCTTAAGAGGGTCATTCGGATAGAGATCTGACAGATGATAATAAAGAAGTCACTTTAAAGACTACATGAAGAAAATTTCAGGCAAAGACTTTCAGCTGGCAAGGAGTTTTGTGGTTTCTAGTTTAGAAAAAAAAAAAGCCAGTATTTCTAGGGATTTTTGAATTAGAGAAAAGTTGAAGGAGATGAGGTCAGAGGTATGAACAGAGGCCAGATCAAAAAGGAGCCTGTAGGCCATGGTAAAGAACCTAAAGGTTACTATAATTGAAATGAAATGTCATTCTAGGGTTGTATAAAATGTGATGATATCCTTATTACTCACAAGTGGAAGAGGGAGACTGGTTAGGAAGAGAATGTTACAATAACACAGGCATGAGATGTGAGTGGCCTGAACCAGGGTTGCAGTGGAAGGAGAACTGGTACAAAAGTCATGGCAACTGAGGAAAAGATGAATTACAGGGGTCAATACTGAAGCAGTAATATCAGTAAAAAGAAAATTCAGTGCAGGAAAATGATGATGAGTTATATAAACTGAGGAAGGTCCAACGTATAGGTAGAGTACAGAACAAATACAGAAGATATTTGGAAAGACTTAATAGGATTCAACTTCTATTGAATAGGAGGAAGAAAGAAAAGGCAATTATTGAGGATGATTTCTAGAATTCTGTCAATTTTTTCCATTCTAATGCATAATGCCATAGGAAAAGGCTGCATTGTTATATAGTGGCCAAATTTTGATTATCATCTTTTCTATTCCTTCTTTTAAAGTTCTTTACCTGAGAACATAGGTCCCTTATGAAAACAGCAGAGATTTACGGTACATTCTTTTTTTTTTTTTTTTTGACATGTAAATTCCATGAAAAGCCTACCAAAGGTAATATTTTTTATCTTAGTCCATTTAGATATATTTTAAACTTATTTCGTGAGCTTGTACTTTTCAACAGTTTCCTTCATAAAAACCTGGCTCGATTAAATGAATTGCAGAAATATATGGACTGAAAATGGCATATAAAAAAATTAATCTCAGCCTCAAGTGAATTATAAAACATGAAACATTGAAGACAAAATGACTTCAGTCTCTTTAGAAGTGCATTAAGGGACCATTAATGCATATACAAGAATATTTTCAACCTATTCTTATAGATATAACACTGAGTATCTATAAAATACACATTTAAGTGAGTTTTTTCCATTAATGAATTATCTGATTGCTGTAGCACATGTTGAAGAACAGAGTGTAGATTGACATTACATATAGTCACAGTGTCATCAATTATTTTAACTCATCTGTTTCAGTAATTGTTTCTGTGTCCTGCATGACCAAAAAGACTGCATTATGTGAATAAAGTTTCTCACCTGATGTAAAAAAAGCCCCATGTTCTACTCATAACCACTTTCTTTTCCTTCCTTCTCATTTTCTTTTCTCTCCCTGCTCTCTCCTTACCTCCATCCTTTCCTTCCCTCCCTCAGTTCTCTCTCAGAACTCTCTCCTAAGCTGATGCTATCTATTCCCAGGGCTTTATATATTATCTGTATATAGACAGTTCCCAAAGTTACATATGCATCCTTGACCTTTCTTCTCAGCATCAGACTACTTGATAGACATTTCAAACTTAACATAATCCAAACTGGATTCTTAAAGTCTCTACCCTTCCCAATCCAACAGTCTTCTCTGTTTCAAGAAATGACACCACAAAGCACCCACTCAAATCAGAAATCATCTAATTTCTGACGAATCATCTAATTTTCAACAAATTATATTGATTCTGTCTCTTAAATATATTCCTCACTAACTAATTTCCTCCATCTCCTTTGCTACCAGCCTAGTTGAAGTCACCATTTTCTCCCACTTACAATTCTCTTTGTAATTATTTAAAAAGTGAAATATCACTTTTATAGTAGCAGATTGGTAGGAGATAACAAAGTTCACTTAAAAAGACTATAAAAATACACCTTTAACGACTTGCCAAAATCAGGAAAGATTCTTCTATGGTTGCTAACTGCAATTAGCAGTAGGAATCAATAAGAATTTCCATCCATAGTTTCTCAGCCTCTCTCTGGTGATCTGTCACATGTTGCAGAGGCTGTGAGTTGCTCAACAGATATACCGACAACAATTTG